GCTCCTCTGGGGCTTCCCCATGAAGGGCCCTTCAGGAAATCCCAAAGACAAAGTTCATCAGACCACGAGGAGCAGCAGCAGGAGCACCAGCCCTGCACCCGCAGTACAAGGGCATTTTTGGCAGCGCCCTGTGCCGTGGGGCTGCCTCCTGCTCCCGGGGAGCAGCCCCCTGCCCTGCCGTCCCCGCGCGCCCCGCTGCCGGAGCCCCGCGAGCCCCCACTTACTTTCTATGTATCCGTGCAGCGTCACCATCCGGGCCCGCTCCGGGCTGCTGAAGGGCGAGTAGTGAATGTCATCGGAGAGCGAGGAAGGGATGCGGGATGGGGGGGCTCCCGAGGGCGGCACCGTGTGCTGGGGGGTGGGTTGCTCTGCAATTTTGAAACCAAACCTGAAACAAAAGCAGCAAACCCTGTGTCCATGGAGAGACAACTGGATTGAAGTGTGGTCCTTCACCGAGACCCTACGATTTAGCAGGGGGGTTGGACTAGATGACCTCCCAAGGTCCCTCCCAACCCTTGCCATTCTGGGATTCTGTGATGGGTGTCTCTTCCAAATATTAAAAAAAAAAAAAAGGAATCAAATCTAGAAATCTGCACGCCGGAATACCCCACCAGCGTTTCACCGGCTTCCATAGCTTTGTTTTACACTCACTAGAACAAGAGCTTTGGCTCAGGACAGCACAGACATCAGGGTGCCCAAAGTGGCATCGCTACTATTAATTTGCCTTGGTCAAAACCAACACCGTTCTTCTTTATTAAGGTAACTGAAAGTTTCAAGCTTGTCGTAGGAGTCGCGGAGTGAAACACCCTGACCAGGTGATGCAGGAACTCGCATTAACGATCATGCTGTTCCACTCCACACTAAAGTAATTTTAATGGCAAGCTGCTTCCTGAGCTCAAAGGGCTGTGAAAGCCCCTGGGGACAGCACCGTACCCATCGGGGAGCAGCCAGGCACCCGAGCTGTGGCTGGGCTCATCCACGCTGCAGGCAGAAAGCCCTGTCCCGGCACAGCTTCCACAGCAAACGATGGGAGCACCCTTCAAGGTCTTACTTAGACTTTAACCTTCAACCCCAGCTAGCCTGGCCTAAAAGCACAGCTGAGATCAGCTGGGAAATGCGTGAGCATTGGCAAGGCAAGGGACAAGGGGAAATGAAACCAAGTTACAGCTTAGACCAGGAGAAGATGTGACTTTAGGGACAATGAAACCAATATTGGTTTAATCACTTGTGGTTTATTGCATTCAAAAACCACATCAGCAGAACATTAAAGCTGAGAAAGGAGGGTACTGCGGGACACAGCCCCACACCATCTGAGCAGCAGGTACGAGCCCTCTGACCGTATCACACTGCTTCTAACTAAAGGAATAGTTAGGGGATTACATCCTAGAGTCAAAACATGCATGGAGGGGGGCTCCATGCTAAGAAAGTGATTTCTTTCTTATGCTTTAATTTTCAAGAGATAGCTGGGAGTAAAAATCTTCTCCAAGGCTGAGAGAAGATCAGTGCTGTGAGGCCGCGCACACTGGACCACAGAGAAGGAAACAGTCGTAAGCATTTGACAAATTGTTTCCTGTTCAAAGCCCCTTTACAAAATATCCACATAAAAAATAGCCCAGTGTGCAGACTGCTTGATCTTTAGCTAAATGAAGACTCTCAATAACTGAGGCTCGAGCCAGATTTTCACACACGAAATTTAAATGTGCCGTTGGCAAAACAATCCTGGATGAAAGCTCCAAATTTATTTTAATCACTCATGGTTTTATTGTATGCAGATAGTATGTCAGCAGAACATTAAAGTGAAGAGGATAAATGTCACTGGGGAGCAAAGCTGGGCTGTCTACAGGGACGGCGAGCTGGGAGTTGCAGAGGGGACGTTTCTCGGTCCCTATGGCACCGCTCTCCCTCCCCAACCCCCAAACAGCACAAGCACAAGCCCTTTCATGCCACCAATTCCCCTGGGGCTGCAAACCCCCTTTTTCTTTAAAATTCTCAATCCCAAGGCTTCCCGAAGCAGCTGGCTTTGCCAGCAGGGCAGAGCCAGGGCAGAGCCCAGAGCTGCGGGGCGGCGTGCTGACGGCAGCTTGCCCACCTGGCAATTTACTGGGACTGGCTGGGGCTGTACGGTAGGTTTGGGGGTTTTTTTTCATTGCATCATAAGAAGGAAAAACAAATAGGAAAGACCCAAGTGAGGCAGAGGAAGAAGGACGGTGCTGGTGTCACGACGGGACCCGGGGAAGCCAACACACCGGTGAGGCAGCACGAAGCTGCTGGATGCGGCAAGCCCCGGGGTTGATGTGTGGGGGCGAGGGGATACAGGGACGTGAGCCCTGTCTGCCACCAGCCTTTGGGTGCACCTCCTCTGCCCCCTCCTCAGCCCGATGGCGCCTGCGCCCTGCCCGCCCCGGCTGCCCCTCACCTGAATGGCTCTCCGACTCAGCCCCGTCATGTCCGCCAGCTTCTGAAGTGTTTGTGCGTCGGGGTTGTTGTCCTGAGCAAACTGTGCCTGCATGACCTGGGGGGGGCGAGAGGAGAGAGGGGGTCAGGGTGAGGCCGGGGGGCCGCGGGCCCTC